TCTTCTTCCCTTCTTCCCAGGGGATCCACTCTGGCCATGGCAGGAAACAGGCTGCTGCACCAACTGAAAGGTCTATACAACTTCGCATGCCATTCTCATGCTCATCATTTAAAAAAAAAAAAAACAACACAACAAAACACGCAACAGAACACAAAAACAAACAACAACAAAAAACAACCCAACAAACAAAAAGACCCAACAAGCTGCTTTCCTAGTAATCCTAAGGAAAACGTTTCAAAATCAAAGCATATTCAAAAATTTGAGCTTTCAATCCTTTGAGTTGAAAGAATCTGACAAGAAAAGTTATCTTTATCCATCAATCACATAAGAATCACATAAGAACTTTTAATATATTTTTAAAAAATAAAAACGGCCAAATTCTCTTTGAGGAATAAAAACAGTGGCTGTCCTTTTCCACCCATGCTGCTTTTTTGTCTTGGTCTAAGCAAGTTACTTTAGTTGATAGGCAGAACTGTGACATGTGAATACAAGGAAGACTTTAGACAATTAATTCACTGGACTAAGTTGATTTATTGCTTGCTAATCATTATTCACTGTTTTCTCTTAGCCATTCTATACAATAATTAGGGAAATTGTTTGGAAATAGTGAATTGCCTCTTATTCATCTTTTATTATAGAAATTTCTAATTATTCATCAAGAAAGTAGAGATTTAGTGTTCAAATGACTAAATATATATTTTAAAAGTCAATTCAGAATCAAATCTGACTACTGGCTTCATAACATCAGTAGTATAGCACCACATAATGCATTAAAAACCTGTTCACAAAACTCAACAATAACTAGCCCAAGCTGAGAATCCTGTGGTAATTCCTATCTTTAGCTATTGTGTTTATATGTACATTAGTTTAAATTTGTTTACATTTTAAAGCAACATATGGTACACAGAAAGCCCTTGAGGGGCTAACTTCTAGTTGCCATTCACAAAGACAGTTAAAGAAAGCAAGAAAGAAATACATTCAATATGTTTATCTGTGGGAAAATATTTCACAGAATTTCCGAAAGCATTCCACAAAGATGCAACGAACTGCATTTATATGAAAATCCAGAAAAAATCCAGATTCTTCTGGATACTATTATGAAAACATTGTAGAGCTAAAGCAGTTTGAAATTGATACTATATATAGAACGGTAATTAGGTAGCTTTGGAAATTCATGCTTTTGTTTAAGTAAGCTACATAGCTATCTATGGAAAAGTCATGAAATGAAAATCAGAAACAAGATCAAAAATTAACATATATGCTTAGTATTAACTAAATGTAAGGGGAAAATGGGAATAAGTTTTAGAAGTACTCAAATATTAACAATACCACTGAAGATTCCTTACAAGATGAAAAGAACCAACAGAAAATACCAAATGAAAGAGCTTCTCTATCACACTGCATTCACTGGCCCAGTATCATAACACCTTTAGGCAAAATTACTGAGTGGTTTCTTCTGTATAGTGAGTGCTGACTTGAAGAAAAACTCTATTCTTTTATCCCACAGTCTCTGTACTTAGTTTATAGGTATGCAGGAAATGCACAGGTAAAAAACAATGCATTAACCTTATTGGTAAGTAGGTCACAATCATGAGTTATTTAAACATCCAGATGTGTGTGAAACATGAGTATTTTTTGCATTGCTTTAGTTATAGTAAGGAACCACGAAATAGTGACACAAGAACATTCAAAGCTATCGTACGATTTATTCACTAACCAAAAGCATCATCATATAGACAACACTAACTTGTAGGAGTTAAGTGCATAACATTCTGATTAACTGTACACTCTTGCATCATTAGTTTTTCAGAGTACATTAGCAATCCAACTCTCCTGACACATAGTCTGCACAGAAAATTAGTTACAGATACTTACAGGTTTTCCCTTATTGAATAAATGCATACGAACACATGTATGAAAATGCTTTAACTAAAAACAAAAGTAATGTACTCTGAAAAGTCATAGTTAATTGTACATAGGTCACTCCAAAAGTAATGCCTCCTATTTATTTCCACAGAAACAACAGATGCACAGAGCACAGTAACACTATTTGATAGAGTTATTTCTTAGCTACAAAACACTTTTTCAATAAAGTCACCATCATTAGCTATGCATTTTCACCAGTGATGAACAAAAGCCTGCATGCTACGCTTGTAAAAATATGCACCAGTGGAGGTGATCCACTGTTTCACAGACACTATGACAGCACTGTTGCTAGGAAAATATTGCCCATACTGTCCTCAACACTGTCCTGAACAGATGGAAGTTAGAAGGTGCTAATCTAGGCTACTCGGCAGGTGTGGTGGAACACTCCAGCCACCACCGGCAATACGCTCCACAGTCTTCAAATTGGTACAGGTCCTGGTGTTACCATGTTGCAAAAGAACGGCTGTCTTCTACTCTGGCATGACTTTGGAAGTTTGAGCCTTCAAGCTCAGTTAGTTTACTCACGATGTAACAGTCAGAGTTGATGGTTTGCCCAGGTTCCTGGAAATTCAGAAGGATCACCCCTTTCCATCCCCAAAGACATCACTTTACCCACTGAGGGCTGAGTTTTGAACTTTTCCTTCAATGGGATGTTCACACATTGCCACTCCATGAATTATTGTTTTGACTCTGCCTCGTACTGATGACCCCACATCTCATCACTTGTAATAACGTGATCCAGAAAACTGTCATCTTCAGCCTCATATTGGTTCGATAGGTCCCGACAAACTTCCATACAGCATCTTTCAATTCCTGTGTGAGCATCTGTGGGGACCCACCTGACACTAACTCAGTGATATTCCAGTGTTACTTCTACTGTTCTCAATGTACTGAATCTGACACAGTTCCCTGGTCATAATCTGCCAATTCATATGGATAAACTGACTGAGATGCTCTTTATTTTGTGATATGACAACAGCATGGCTGTCCAGAATCTGGCTTGTCTTTTACATCACTGTTGCCACTGATGAAATGCACCACCCACTGCCTCACTCTGCTCACATCCACTGTTTGGTCTCCATCAGCATCCAGCAAGCATTAATGAACATCAGTGGGCACCATTTTTTCCCGCGTGGATAAATTCAGTTCAACACCTTTGCTTCATACACACTTCCATGTCAAACACCATTCTGTCAGACTGCCCCTCTGCTGCCACCTGTCTCACAGCAACAAAATGTAGTGGAATATTGGTGTGCAGGTTCAACTTCTACTGCCATAGCACCAACATCTGCTCCTGACATCATGGGCCAACAGAATAACTAGGAAGCATTACTTTTGGAGCAGCCATTACAATTCCCATTACAAAGGCTGATGGGGAAAACTGCAGCAAATTTATTCCAACAAATGAATTATTTGAAAACAAGTAACTTTAAATCACAACTGTGTAATAACAACTCACAATCATCTCACCTAAAAAAAATAGGAAACAATTACTGCTTGTACAAAACACTCACTCTGTCCCTTTTCTAATATATATATGTATATATTCAGACAAATTAACAACTGTTGCTTCAATACAGACATAATCAGAAGACAGAGATTGTTTTTAAGTTCCCTCTCCCACCACTAATTCTTCTCACTGTAGGCTTCACAAATTTAATGTTAAAAGGACACAATCAGCGTACATACAAACTGTAAATAAATTCCTCATTGCAGTTTACTTTAAAAAGCCAAAACAGTATTTTTAAATAGATTTCAAGATGTATCTGTAAGGGTTGCTCTCATTTATGCACTCTCTTGATGAGGATAACAACCCCCATGTTTTATTTACCTTTTCAATATTTACTTTTTTTATGTACTGGTCAACAACTGCATTTTCAAGCTGTCGGATTTGTGACAATAGCATCACACTGTAACATCCAAGTTATAAATTTGATAAGACACTTTCGTGAAGATGAATCAACTGTAACATCCTTGCCATATTCAACAGCTTTAACAAGATTTACGCAACCCTAATACGTCAGGAATGCTTATTTACCCAGGGAACCATGTACAGCTACCAACTAATGGCACGGGGCCAAAAGGCTACACTTCTCACTGTCATGTAAGCGTGCTCATTATACGAGTATCATCTACATATGAAATTATGATACTTCCAGTGACTGCTTTATATCTAAAAATATCAGTACTGAATGCTGCAATTACATTTCTCAGCTGGAGACATCTTGCTACATTATTTTCTTGAATGCATAAGATCCAGGCTCAACAGTGTGCTAATCAGCTGCACTGAACTCTAAATGGGATTTAATTAACTATAAAACTACTCGGATTTGATTGGTGAGTTTTTTAGTTTGTTTTAAAATCCAAGCGCATCTTAATCACCTTGCCTGCCCTCCAAACAAAACAATCACAAAAAAGACAAGATGCTCAGAGGGAAAAAAACCAACCCTATAATCACAAAATAACCATAGGCCCTTACATCATCTACTTCCTTTCCAAATAATATTTCTCAGTAATTTGTTACTGATTCTGACTTCAGAAGTTTCTAGCCTTAAAACTGTTCAAAGGCAGGAGTTACCTACAGTGTGCATTCCCCTGTGTAACTCTAGCTGTTAGAAGTATGCCTTTCAAAGCTGGTCCAAAATTAACAAGAGAAGCAGCTCCTTGGCTGCAATTTAGTTTGGGAAAGGAAACAATGCTGAGACTCCTTTAAAGATTGGTCCCTCTGCACTAGAAATTTCATCGCAGATACCACATGGTCTAACTTGGTTTGGGTGCTTCTTTGTTTAGCAGAGCAGGATAGGAAAGGCACATGCATAGGAGAGGTTTCTCTTTTCTGTCTTAGACACAACTTATGCATTAGGTCAAATCTACTCATATTCTGCCTTCTAAAATTCTTAACGTTTAACAGAGTTTGTAGGAAAAAGGATGAACACAGCAAGTGTTCTCATGAGTAACCCTGTCATTAACTCTGATCGTTTCTTTTCCCTCTGATTTCTGAAGCATTCATAACATACATACATATATAGCATTACCAAGCTAAACATATGCCATATATATATTTTTTTACTCACCTACGCAGTTATCGCAAAGGCTGCAATGTGAGGCACGAGGTGGGCGGAAAATCTTGCAAGTAAAACAGTATTTTAGTTTCACTGTCTGTCCATTGATGATCACTTCTTTTGTTCTGGGAGGGGGGCGGTATCCTCCTGAACTGGAGCCATTTGCAATATCTAAACAGGGAAACACAATACATTAGGCCCTGCACATGAGCTATGCTGCACGCACTCAACCATTCTTGACGGTGACCTACAGTTACAAGTTTGTATCGACTTCATATTCATATACTTGAACTGGCTTCTAACCTTCTCATTCTCCTAGAATAAGTGCTCTTAAAGATAGGAAGAAACATAATTACAAATAGCATCCACAACCAACTAATTTGAATTAAAAAAAAAAACAAAAACATGACAAAGCAATGCCCAAAATAAAGTTTCAGATGCTGACAGCTACCTTGAGCCCCAAAATCTTACAATCTCATATCCCTGAGCAGTTTGTTGAGAATACATTACAAACAATGACAGCTAGTAGCACAGTGTGGTGAAAACATAAACAAATGTTTTCAACAGAGTTTATTCAGTTCAACCTTGAAATACAAGTTTGATCTAAGGAAGATGTTCATCTCTGAACATGAAAGCAGACTGATCATCAGCTCATTTAAAAAGGGAAAACATTTCAGATGACTATTTCAAAAGCCTCCATCTGGACAAGTCATCTTAGGAAATTCCTTATTTTTTTTTTTCTTTTTTTAAAACTCTGTAATAACAAGAAGTTTGTAGAACTTCTACAGCACTTGTCAAGAGAAACTAAGAAAAGCTACCTTTTAAACAGGAAATCACTTAAAATAAAAGAAGCTAACATTTTAGTCTTGAAAGCAGAAATAACAGAGGGTGTAGGCTCAATCTAGTATAAAACCTACATGTTTACTTCAGCAGCACTATCATTAGAGCTTGGCATATAGTACAAGTAAAATCAGTTGTTCTAAGACCTCTTAAAGGCTGTGATATAATGGAGTACATTCACAGATTTTGCTTTTTGGAAATTTTAAATCTAACAGCCAGTGTTACTTTTACAAATCTTGAAGTTTGTTTTTTTGCATAAAAATCATTTCCAAAAATTGCATTTGGAAAAAGTGGTGGGGTTTGGGCTTCTTGTTTGTTTGATCTATGGACATCAGCAACCATCAATTGCTAAATGTCTGATAAGATTACATCACTGAAGTTCAATTTCATCCCTCAAATTCTCCCAAACTGAGCTATACTCTAAAAGGTGAACATATACAAGCAGTACCTCTTTGTCAGTTTATCTGCTCTTCTGAAATCACAATCAATTCAGGCCACAGAAGTGGCAAGAAATATATATTTTTTATTACTTTCAGATACACAGAACAGGAAAATCAATAGGGAAATGAAACCAATTTTTTTTCCCCCACACATGAATGCAACTGCATTTTGAAGTCAGGGTCACCTTCACAACTACGTTTAAGTTATTTCTATCACTTTAATGCTGGGCAAGCATGGCCGGATGACTCCAAGATCCATGACTGGTGTTTGAGGTCAAATTATTACAAATATCACTCCAGGTGCCATTTTTGTGAAGTCTGCAGGGATATCTGCACAGCCTACAATCTACACATTGTCAGTCTGGGGGAGGTGGGAACCAGAATGCCTCCTACTTAGAAAGGCATTCAAATTAGTGTAATTGTAGACCTGATAGTAAAGGTGCAATAACAGAATTAGGAAATCCAGTTTAGGAAGTTCTCATGTGCAACCTCCTCACTCACTCCAGAAGCATGCATCAGTAGAAGTATCTATGGAACACCACTGCAAACTTGAGGACTGAAACAAGTTGGCCTCTGAATCTCCTGGGAAAGGAAGTGGAAGAAGGTGCAATAGATGCAAATGAGAGAATCAGAACATGAGGCTCCTAAGCATCCTATACGGGAAAGAAGTGGTGAGTACTAAAGAAACAGTTCCTCAGAAGCAGCTTGTTAGACCCTGTCAGATGTTTGGTTGTATTGAATTGCAACCAGACCCTGCACTGTTCCTGGAATGCTCAGCCAAGTCCTATGACCATGGAAGCAGAGGTTACTGTGTGGCTCTCATACCAATCAATAATACTGATTTTGACCTCAAGGCCAGTAGTACTTACCATCATATTTATGACTAAACAAGTGCTGAACGTAAGTTACTACTGTATTTATTTACATGCTGAAGCGTGACTACACAATAAAAGTTGCTGAAGATGTGACAGAGACACTATCTTAAGTTTCATATTTATTCATTTTTATGTTTATGCTAGTTAAAAGAAACTTAACTACTTAAACGATGGATTTTGAAGCATTCTAGCAGGCATGAAAATTGATGATGTCAAAAGGAATGATTTAATTTCTCCAGGTTATACAGAGAACCTATTCTTATGTGCTTTCTTTTTCAGAAGTAAGCTGAAAATATGCTTTTCTGAGGGCGGAGCACAACTGTGCTTATGCTGTTCAACACTTAACAGAGTTACGGCCAATTCCTAGATCCAAACAGGAAAGAGTTTCTTACAATTCTGGGGCCAATTCTCATATACGCAGTGGTTTTTTCCCCTCTACATTACAAGTTAGTAAGTACTGGGAAACAGTGAAATAACATCTTACTAGCACCGACCCACATAATGCAATACAGTACTGTTAGGGAAGAAAATTTAGGGGAGAAAACAGTACAAAGTTGTGATTATGAAAATCCTCTATTGCTGATTTTAGTTGCTATCATTGAAAAAGGCAAATATGCTTCAACGGATTATACTTTCAGTGACATAATCACCAGCAGGCTTGTAATACTCTTAGTCTTTATATAAGTCCATAGACCTTAAAAAACACAGCATTATATCCATTTTTGACCTAAGAGTTAAGAAAGACTATTAAGTTCTGAACACAAATGTAGGTCATTAGCCCCAATTAACTCTTCATTCAAACATGTTTATGACTACTAGTTCATTAATAAACCAGTGATTCCCATTTCATATTTATGGTTCTGTAATTGTAGCTTTCAACACTGCTTAGAAATGCCAGTGCATTGAATTTAATAACACTAACATTTAAAAGCTTCTCCTCATAGAAAGTCCTAGGTATTGAATATGTACAACCATAAAAAAAAAAAAAAAGACTTTCAAATCACAACCAAGACCATTTAGAATTTTTTTTTCCTTAATGAAATATTTATTCATAGAAAATGCACAGCAACTGAAAAAAAACAAACCACAAAAAACATTATTTCCTAAGCACTAAGAAGTGCCCTGCTTTGTCTTTTTATTTTTACATGCTTTAGCAGAATCTCAAAGGCAACTTTCCTTGCCTCTGGTGCAAAAGGGAGACTACTGGCCATCCTGTTCCATTTACAACACTGTTTTTTCTAAGATTTCCTTCCAAACCAGTGCAGTGAAGTTCAAGTTCACAGGCACAGCCAATCCCAGCTCTCTAACTGAAGAAAATTTATCTCAAAATCCACAGGCAAAAGCTGATGCAAACGAAATGAAATGAAAACTGTCTTGCTGACTTGCAACAGAGTCAGAATTTCATCCACAGTCTTTAACTGAATAATTAAATCCGATCTTAGTCGTTGTTTATTAGCTTTTTTTTTTTTTTTTTTTTTTTGTCCTTCTGGGAGCTATCAAGAGAGTAAAACCAAAAGTGCTGGATTTAATCAAACTTACCTATCTTGAATGTGCTAAACATGCCTTGTACCTGCCTCGTCCTGGTCTCACTAATTTTTGGACTGTAGTTAGCTTCAATTGGACTGCTCATACTTGTGTTCAAATGCAGGCCAATCTTTAAATATATGCAGTTCCTTTAAGGCATAATAAGATTAACCTTTACAGAACTACCCTCCACAGATAAATCTGTTTGACCATTGCTTTTCTACATTTTTCCTTTCCAACCCATTAATGATATAGCAAGGCAAGCTATTTTATAAAATAAGCATAGAATTCTCCCACTAATGGAGTTGCCACCAATCCTTTTCTGGTACTTTGCTGTGACACAGTTTACAACTTCTCTATTGCAGCATTAAGTGCTCATGCACTAGACGGGGCTCCAGCATTTTTGTTTTAGAAGAAGCTAAACAAAAGCCACCAAAGATACAATCCATACCCTTGTAGGACCAAGGTATTTGACTTCAAGTAAACTTGCTTCACATATTTAATGGAGAAACAGCACAATCTCTTTCTAATACAATAACATATTCCACTTTGCTCAAATTATTCCATTCATTATTAACTGGGGGAGATGTTTGTATGAGACAAAGCCTGGAATTCTGTATACATATCACCAGGATCCTTCCACTCAAGCATTTGCCTTTTTGGTCAGTTTTCCTACAATACTAGGAACAAACCCCCTCTAGAAGGTCTCTCCATATCATAACTACACAAACTTATCAAGACCATATCATGCAAGGTTTGCTACTGTGATGCAATTTCCACCTTCAAACAATATGATTAGCAAAATTAATAACTATGAGTACTTCCAATGTTTCCTGCTGAGAGAAACAGATAATGCAATGAAAAATCTTCATGTATGACCTATAACATCTGAAGAACAATAACAGAAACCCCATAAGAACATAAGCTTCCTCTAAGAAAAGCATTCTCAGTGTTTAACTACTTAAATTGAAGCTATATACTTAACAATAGGGGGATACAAGAAGAAAAGGGTTTTTTTTTCATTTATTTATTTATTTATTTATTTTTAAGTGATAAGAACTTAAGTAACATTTCTCTGTTTCCAAACAGTAATTTCAGGGACAAACAATACTGGGAACCTAGCTTGGACAACCAGTAGCAGCTAACTGCATTCCACACATAACTCTTTATCTGAAAGCTGACAAGAAATACTGACCAAGTATTGCTCATACTTTAGAGAAAAGTGTTACTACCTTGATTTCAGAAAATGTTGCACACTATTTTCTTAAGAGTAGAACTGCATCACCATCCTTAAGTCTAGGGTTTTGTGTGAAATGTAACCTCACTTCCAGACACAGATGTAATTGTCAGTGACTTGTTGAAAGAAAAAAGCATATGGCACAAGAGCTTTCTGAAAGACTTAGCTGGCATACAAAAACATATTTCTACTAGATTTTAAGAATATTGTTTAAAGCATGAAATACCAGGTATGATCATCAATCTCATATTCCAC